CGGCCCCCTCCCCCGGGGGGGGGGGGGGGCGGTGATTTCTCACTTTCTGTCTCTCTGTCTCTCTCTGTCTTTCTGGCGAGCATGTGCGCTCTATAGCAAAAACCTCTCCCCCCCCAAAAAGAAAAGTATTTCTTTATGTCAGAAGAGGTGGTGTGAGGAAGGTATATTGTGATATAGCTGATTAAGAAACAGAATCTTTAAAGTCTTTGGAGCTAATTTTACTATTCTCTCAAAGGCCTCAAGAAACAACTCCCCAGAAAAACTTACTGAGTCCTCTTTGTTTCCTTCTCTTTTTCTTTTTTACTCCAATTCTGTGAGAAATTGGCGTAGGGCATTTGCTTCTTTGTTTTCATTTCAGATTTCAAATTCATAATTTGTCATTTCAAAGGTATAATTTAAAAGATTGTTCAGCTTAGCAAAATAGGCCCCCAATATAAAGCCTCAGTGGGATCTAATTATTATGAAACCCTTGAAGAAGGTACACTTCCTCCTTCAAGATACAGAGGGTGCTTTAATGGGTCACACTTTCCTTTTATCCCCAGCTGCTTAGGAATCTGACAGGCACATGGACGTTTCCATCTTAACACACCTGTTCTTTCCCCTCCTTGGTTCCTCATTTACAAATTCTGCATCACAACTTTTGCTGTATTAACTACTTCCCTTAGAAGTCTTCTCTCTTTTTTTAAGAATTATGTACTTAGTTTTATTTATTATTTATTTTTAATATGACATAGAGAGAGAGGGGGAGAGAGGGAAAGTGAGAAAGCAAGCCAACAGGTCCAGGACTCGAACTGTTGTCAGCCACATGGGAGTGTCCAGTGCCTTAACCACCATGCCACCTGTTGATCCCCTGGAAGTCTTCTTTAAAAAACTTTAGAAAAATGTATTATTAAATTACGTTCTATTAGAATACACTAGCTCAGACAAGGATGAAATAAGTCTGAGCAATACTCCCTCTCCTAAGAATGTTTATAACTGAGAACCAGCCCGTCTCCACCCGCTCCCAGAGGAAGTGCTGAGCCAGTATTTAAAAAAAGGCTCTCAGTGGCTTGAGAATTTAAGTGCAGAAAGTTATTTGAGTCTTGTCTGTGTAAAGGGCTCCTGTCACTCAACATACTGCCATCTTTTAATCATAACTTCGGACTATAGAAAATTGTTATAAGAAAAAAAGGGGCTTTCTTTCCAGGTAATAGATCAAGGAGGCAGGACCTCTGCAGGAAACTACTAGCATCATATTAAACAACAACCACCATAACACACATCACCCCGGTCCCAAGGATCATTAACTAGACTGTTAGTGGCCTCCATTCCTATGCTGGTAACATAATTACTTGTAAGCACCGCTTAGCCAAGAGCACTGGATCCAGAACGTGCAGTAATAGGGACGGGAAAGGAGGACAGGAATGGATACAGCGTTATTTCTTGAAAGGTCTCCTCCCAGTCTTGATGCATTGCAACATTCATTTCTACCTCATCTGCCCACTAAAATATCAACCAATAAGAATAATAAACTATAAACTATTTGACTTATCCAGTATCTTAAAGCATCACAAAGGATAAATCCTGAGAAAAAATGATTGACTGTGTCTCAAAAATACGAGGGGGAAAAAAACTCAATATTTACAAAATTTTATTAACTTGCCATTTTTATTATCTTGTACTTTTACGGTGCCAATCGTAATATTCAACTTGTTCAAGGTAAGCGAGGTATTTGTTTTCTCAGCCTAAAAGCTATGTATACTCTTACAACTTGTAAACCTATGAGGTAGCACACGAACACAGTACTCATGATACCCTACGAGAGATAGCATCACTTTGTGTGGAAGGTAAAATAAAGGACCATGATGTCCGTGTTCAAAGTATTGGTTATTTATTTATTTATTTATTTTTTTGGAGATATTTTTGCTATAGGGTGCCAGAAAGACAGAGAGACAGAGACATAGAAAAGCGAGAAGTCACCCCCCAGGGTGGGATGGCCATGCCATAATCCTTTCTCCTCCATTCTCCTCTCGCGATCTTGGGCACGCACGCACACATGCCTGGCGTGCGTTTAAGCCACCAGGTCCGGGACTCAAACCGTGGTGGACTACATGGGAGTCCAGCGACTCAGCCATTACGCTACTGCCAGTCCCCAAAGTATTGGTTAAAGTGTATCTAATTATTTTGATACTTAAATGGTCTCATGTGTGCCTTTATCCACCAAGTTCTCAACCATAAAGATATTTTGCAAATGAAAAAACTATGTAGTCTGTGCTGCTGCGTTTATGCCTACGGGCTCCTCTAGGTTGGTGATGTCACATTGCCGTTCTTTCTGTGAGCTGTTGCAACTCCCTCCACACCTTTCCCTCTGCTTTACATGCAGAGAAGACTGACTATAAGTAAGGCATCAGGCAGCCCTGATTCCCCTGCTTAAGCCACAGCTGCACTTGTGATAGTGAAATGGGTTCCCCAGAAATGTTTACAACTGACTCCCATCTGTAGGTCAGTGCACCTGATGTAATCGAGTCTCCCTATGTTGGTCACTGTGTGGTAAACTCTTTTTTCATATGGAATGCAAAGATCCGTTTCAGTTCAGGCCTGGTAAAATTAATCACGCATTTGTAAATTGGTAACTTTTTGAATAAACCAAATTTCTTTAGATTTCTAAAATATCGTATCTACCTGCTTATTTCTTATGTAACTTTATAGGAATAAATGTACAGTGTCCCATCTTATCTGTGGCCTCACTTTGCACAGTTACCCGTGGTTAACCACGGCCTGAAAATAGGTGAGTACTGTACAATAATTTAAGGTAGAGACCACTTTCACTTGTCTTTTATCACAGTACAGTGTTACAAATTTTCTATTTTGTTATTACTTGTTGTAATCTCTTACTGCGCCTAATTTGTAAGTTGAACTTTATCATTGGTATGTATGCATAAGAAAAAACAGTATTTACAGAATTCAGTAACTATCTGTGACTTCAGGTGGCCACTGAGAGCCTTGGAACATAACCCTCTCAGATGAAGGGGGATTACTGTATTCATTAAGGTTATAGTAATACATTCATTAAATTATATTAACATCATAATATTATATATGACATCATATATAATATAACATCATGATATTATATCTTTTGAATTATTTTATTCCCTTTAGAAGTCAATCCAAGAAGAAAAACGAAGACCAAGGAAAGACAGGTAACTATTATTTCTAGATTTCAACAAATTGTCTTATTCAAACTAAAATATAAATCCATATATTCAAGTTATCATTAAAATCACCGATGTATATGGATAAATTTGGAAATGAATATGCTCTTATTATATTGGATCATTGGAAAAATCATGACACATGTTTGCATAGAAAAATACATCATAACTTTTCCAACAACCCAATAAACATATGGTTTAAATGTAGTTTTTAAGAGCTTGCCTGTTGGAACTATACTGAGCCAGTGCAGTTTGCAGCATACACTAAGAACTCCGTATGTTTGGGATGAATTATACTGCCCTGATACAGAATCTGCTTTTTTTTTCCTGAATAAATGCTTTTAATTGGTCAGTTTGAACATTACCATATCTTGAACTTCCTTTCCCTGAACTTCTTTTTGCTTTTTGTCCTCTAACACATGCTAAGTTCCATTTCTTATCATTCTTATGGATTGTAGGAAGGTAATGTTTTTGTTACCTGCCCAGGTGTGGCACACTTAAATTTATATTATCCTCTTTTTTCGATAGTGTTTCAGTCTGTCAACATTTCATTATTTTAATGTTACAGTCTTACAGTCCTGTGTTACTTAACAACAGGGATATGGTCTAATAGAAATGTTGTTAGGGGGACCAACAGATGGTGTAATCATTACATTGCTGGATTCCCACATGGCCAACTGTGGTTCACGTCCCAGACCCAGTGACTTCAAACTCATGCCATGCACCCAAAATATTGAGAGGAGAATGGAGGAGAAGGGATTATGGCATGGTCATCCCTCTGGGGAGGGTTATTTCTCACTTTCTGTCTCCTTATCTCTCTCTGTCTCTCCAATGAGCACACATGACCTGTAACAGAAATCTCTCTTTAAAAAATGTCATTAGGTAATTTTGTCATTGTGTGAATGTCATAAAGCCAACTTACACAAACTTAGATGGGGTAGCTTACTACACAACTAGTCTACTGGTGTAGCCATTTGCTCCCAGGCTGCAAATCTGCACAGCAGTTATTATCTCAAAGGCTGTTGGTCATTGTGACACATGATAAGTATTTGCATATCTAGACCTGTCAAAACATAGAAAAGGTCCAGTAAAAGTACAGTGGAGAAGATTAAAAGATGGTATACCTGCACAAGGCACTTGCCGCGAATGGAGCTTGCGGGACTGAAAGTTGCTCTGGGTGTCAGTGACTGAGTAGGGAATGAATATGAGGGCTCCGACATCACTGCACATCGCCAAAGCTTTACAAATACTGTACACTTAAGTTTACTAAATTCATTTAAAATATTTTCTTTCTCCAATAAGTTCATCTTAGCTTACTGTAATTTTTTTACTTTATAAACTTTTTGATTTTTTAACTTTTTGACTCTTTATCAGTTTGCTTAAAACACAAACATATGGTACAGCTGTCCAAAAGCATTTTCTGCCCTATTCTATTAGCATGTTTCTATTTTTCAATGTTATTTTTTACTTCGTAAACTTTTTGTTAAAAAGTAACACACAAACACACATGTAAAGCTAGGCCTGCACAAGGTCAGGATCATCGATATCATCGTCTTCCACCTTCACATTGTGGCCCACCAGAGGGACCATGATGAACAAAAGAACACAAGATTCAATCAAACACAAGAGACAACAATGCAATCGAGAGAAGCTGTTTCCAGCTGCTGTTGGTATAATACTGCATACTGTTTTATGGTAAACTCCTTTTATAAATAGAAGGCATGCACTCTTAATAGCATAGTAAATGCATACATTATGGACATGGTCACATATTGTCATCATGATCAAGTGGTCCGTACTGAACATAATTGTATGCGCTGTGCTTTTATACAACGGGTGGTACAGTAGGCTTGTTTACACCATCACCACCACAAACACATGAGTGATGCATCATGACACCTAAATCACTAGGCAGTAGTCATTTTTCAACTCCGTTATAATCTTACGGGACCACTGTCATGTATGAGATCTGTCATTTGTGGAAAAAACACCATTATGCAGCATATGACTGTATTTTAATCAATATTCATGTCAACTCATTTCCAGACAGTGCTAATAACAAAAGAGCACTCTTCTATTAAGTATGCATGAACACAGAGCTCCATATTCATGAGTTGGTGGCATTCTGAACATTCATTTATGAATAGGTATCTCTAACTTGAAAAAACATATCTTCCTAGAAGCTGTAACACCTGGTAGTTTTCCAGACCTCCCTGTTTACCTCCAATGCAGCCCCCTCCGACTAGAGATACTGAACACTATAGACACCAGATTGTGGCCTGAGTAGGTTTAAGAATTAAAGTGGTTAAGGACATACCCCTGTTGTAAGTCATGTGCAGGAATTAAAATCTAGCACAGAAATTCATCCCCTAAAGACAAAGGGTAAGAAGAGGACAGATGACCTGTGAAGGAGGTAAGTTATCATGAAGCCTGTGTATGTATTTCGGTGTATACTGACAGCGAGAAAATCTGAAGCCACTTTGCATTGATACGTGAAGGCCAGCTTTTCCAGTAGCGGCCCAGGTGTCAACAGTGAACTGCGATCCAGCCCAGCCATTGCTAAAGCAGAGTAACCACCAGCTCTTCGCGTAACTGCTTATTTCATGCCAAGTCAAACGTGATAGTACTAGGAAAAGCTGCTTCAGGAAGGTCATATTTTATTCAGGTTCAGAGAAGAGGGTTCTGTTTCCTTTGTAATTTACTTACTACTTTTGCCTATTTTAAGACTGTTTCCATCTCTATTGGTCTGTATGTGTTACCCCTAAGTTATACTAAATACTTCGAAAAATTTAAAAAAGTATTGCATAAACTTAACTGAGTAGAGAATTGGGCTGATGTTATGATATATTTATGTGTTAATTTACAGTCAGGGGAAATTGTTAGATTTGGAAGATTTCTATTATAAGGAATTTTTGCCTCGTCATTCTGGATCAAAGGAGTGGAACCCCAATTTAAGGGAACGAAGACCACCGCAGGAACTCCAGAAACAATGTTTGAAAGCTAATGAAAGGTAATAGACTACATTTTAAAGTACAGCATTTTCTACTTTATACTCACAATTTTATTTCTTTTAGACATTTTCATTTTATGTGTGAACTAATGACCGAACATTCTTACTTAATATCGCATCTCATGAATGATATGTTGTTTAAAAGTAAAATCATAAATATTGTGATAGAGCAACCAGATATTCCAGTTTTCCAGCAAAATCTCAGTTTGTGCCTGTTTTCTTGGTGTAGTTATTAATAGCACCCCCCTTTAAAGTATTTCAGTATAGAAGATAAGTTATGTTATCCCCCTAAGAATAAGTGATATGCTATATCTAAAATGTTCCAGCTCTAACAATGTAAGTTTAGTCACTTATTGGCTTCTTAATTGTGCTTATAACATCTCAGAATCAGTCATGTCAGAGCAAAAAATATTGTAAAGTACATATTGGGCTAGCAAGTGGCATGGCACTTCCCACATAGCCAACCAAGATTCGCATCTCAGACCTGGCAGCTTAAAAATCATGCCAAGTACATGTGCGTGCATGCCCAAAATACCGAAGAAGAATGGGAGGGAAGGGAATACAGTATGGCCATCCCCGCTGGGAGATGATTTCTACTTTCTCTCTGTCTCTCTCCAGTGAGCGCATGCACCCTATGACAAAAAGTAAATAAATGAAGAAAAATAAAATAAAAATATTTATTTTAAGTTAGATTTCTCACCTTGCCATCAACGTTGTGACATTAAGTAACTGACATTGTAGCTTAATTAACTACTTTGGAAATTGTGTTTCTTTCTCTGATAAATCTTTGTGAAGTTTTGAGATTGAAGGTACACAGTAAGATGGAAACATGGCATGGGACAAATGGGAGTAATGACAGGTATTTGGGAGCTATCTATTCAAAATCCTAAGTGAACAACCTGCAGCTAAGGACATTCAGACTCTCTCCCCCATCTCTCCATGTGTGACATGGTTAAGAGAAGAGGTTTAAGTGTTTGAGTGACTTTGCTCAGGTTACCCAACCTCTCCAAGCTTCCGCTTCCTCAACTGCTAAAGGATTCACAAATAATTCCTTCACCATGTTGTAGAGCTGAAATGAAACGACAAAGTACTTAACTCTATATGGTATAGGAGAGAGAGTCCATAAACGTGGCTATTATCATCTTTATTTGCTTTCCCAGAAGGTACCTGAATTATGATTTCTACCTTTTGTCTCCAAAAGAAGATGTATGCTTCCATCTTGGGATCAAGAACTATAACACTGGAGCCTAGAGATGTTCTAGTGTTCTAGTCTATGCCCAGAGTCCTATGCAGGAGAACGCCCAGTGCCAGAAAGGTTAAGTGACCTTCCCAAAGCCACAGGTTGAGTTAGTGAAAACCCCCGGCACTTGGTCAGTGTTTTCTACTTTTGCCTGCTTCCCACTTTAGCAGCCACTCTGCTCCCTCTCCAGTATCTCCCCCTCCCCTGACAGATACACGTTTGCTGTAAAAGCATGACATAACACATCACCTGGAGTTCCAGTGGTGGCTATGGACATAGATTTGATACCCACTAGAATAAGTAGATATAAAAATAAGAATGCTAATACTTGACATAGATTGTGCTTACTATGTGCTAGGTGCAAGGTCATTATCTCATTTTAAACCTCACCACAACCTCGTGAGGCAGTTGCTATTGTTGCTCTGTTTTATAGATGAGGAAGTTACGTCTGCAGACAGTCACCCAGGTAAGATATAAGCAGAATTTGAACACAGGCCTCTCTGAGTTTCGAGGCAATACCTTAGCCACTTCTCAGTGTTGACACCCTATGCAAACCAAGATGCTGGGCATTTGAGAAAGGGTCAGATACAATGGTGCATAAGATGTGGTCCTTACATTCGAGGAATTTGATGCAGGAGAGAAAGTATATTAATATGACAAAGCTGAACAAAGTAACCCCAAGAGGGGATTTTTCTAAACTAAGGAAGATTATAGAGACAAACTGTGAACTTGATAAAATCCAGGATTTAAAATAGAAAACAAAAGCAAAGCAGGCAAATAGCTCTAAAGTACATTTTAGGACAGTTGGAGAAGTTTTAGACTAAACTGTATGTTGACGATGTTATTAAAGAAAGAGTATCTTTGTGTGTGTGTGTGTGTGTGTGTTTTCCTTCCTCTTTTTCCTGTAATATTTCAGTCCATCAACATTTCACTACTTTAATATTTTAGTTTTACAGAAATGTGTTACTTAATGACAGGAATACACTCTAAGAAAAAAATGTCATGGGGACAGGTAACATGGTAGCCCAGATGCTGGACTCCTACATGGCCAACCGTGGTTCGAGTCCCAGACCCTGCAGCTTGAAACTCACACTGGGCATGTGTGTATGCATGCCCAAAATCCCAAGAGGAGACTGAAGTGGCAGGAATTGTACTGTGCCCATCCCCCTGCAGGATGATTTCTCACTTTCTCTCTCACTGTATCTCTCTCTCTCTCTCTCTCTCTCTCTGGCAAGTGCATGTGCACTATGACAAAACCTTTAAAAAATGTCGTTAAGTATTTTTGTCTTGGTGAGAATATCATAAAGTGTACTTACACAAACCTAGGTGGAATAGCTTCCTACACAACTAGTCTACATGGTATAGCCTATAACCAGCACCACACACACATACACACACACACAAGTACTAACATCACCCAGGAAGGTGTGAGTAGATCTGGGACTAAAGAATATTACCAATAATACTGCTGCATTTTTTTTTGAGAGTTTTTTTTTATTTTTTTATTTTTCTCTCCCCCATCTCTCCATGTGTGACATGGTTAAGAGAAGAGGTTTAAGTGTTTGAGTGACTTTGCTCAGGTTACCCAACCTCTCCAAGCTTCCGCTTCCTCAACTGCTAAAGGATTCACAAATAATTCCTTCACCATGTTGTAGAGCTGAAATGAAACGACAAAGTACTTAACTCTATATGGTATAGGAGAGAGAGTCCATAAACGTGGCTATTATCATCTTTATTTGCTTTCCCAGAAGGTACCTGAATTATGATTTCTACCTTTTGTCTCCAAAAGAAGATGTATGCTTCCATCTTGGGATCAAGAACTATAACACTGGAGCCTAGAGATGTTCTAGTGTTCTAGTCTATGCCCAGAGTCCTATGCAGGAGAACGCCCAGTGCCAGAAAGGTTAAGTGACCTTCCCAAAGCCACAGGTTGAGTTAGTGAAAACCCCCGGCACTTGGTCAGTGTTTTCTACTTTTGCCTGCTTCCCACTTTAGCAGCCACTCTGCTCCCTCTCCAGTATCTCCCCCTCCCCTGACAGATACACGTTTGCTGTAAAAGCATGACATAACACATCACCTGGAGTTCCAGTGGTGGCTATGGACATAGATTTGATACCCACTAGAATAAGTAGATATAAAAATAAGAATGCTAATACTTGACATAGATTGTGCTTACTATGTGCTAGGTGCAAGGTCATTATCTCATTTTAAACCTCACCACAACCTCGTGAGGCAGTTGCTATTGTTGCTCTGTTTTATAGATGAGGAAGTTACGTCTGCAGACAGTCACCCAGGTAAGATATAAGCAGAATTTGAACACAGGCCTCTCTGAGTTTCGAGGCAATACCTTAGCCACTTCTCAGTGTTGACACCCTATGCAAACCAAGATGCTGGGCATTTGAGAAAGGGTCAGATACAATGGTGCATAAGATGTGGTCCTTACATTCGAGGAATTTGATGCAGGAGAGAAAGTATATTAATATGACAAAGCTGAACAAAGTAACCCCAAGAGGGGATTTTTCTAAACTAAGGAAGATTATAGAGACAAACTGTGAACTTGATAAAATCCAGGATTTAAAATAGAAAACAAAAGCAAAGCAGGCAAATAGCTCTAAAGTACATTTTAGGACAGTTGGAGAAGTTTTAGACTAAACTGTATGTTGACGATGTTATTAAAGAAAGAGTATCTTTGTGTGTGTGTGTGTGTGTGTGTTTTCCTTCCTCTTTTTCCTGTAATATTTCAGTCCATCAACATTTCACTACTTTAATATTTTAGTTTTACAGAAATGTGTTACTTAATGACAGGAATACACTCTAAGAAAAAAATGTCATGGGGACAGGTAACATGGTAGCCCAGATGCTGGACTCCTACATGGCCAACCGTGGTTCGAGTCCCAGACCCTGCAGCTTGAAACTCACACTGGGCATGTGTGTATGCATGCCCAAAATCCCAAGAGGAGACTGAAGTGGCAGGAATTGTACTGTGCCACCCTGGGGGTTGATTTTTCAGTTTCTCTCTCACTGTATCTCTCTCTCTCTCTCTCTCTCTCTCTCTGGCAAGTGCATGTGCACTATGACAAAACCTTTAAAAAATGTCGTTAAGTATTTTTGTCTTGGTGAGAATATCATAAAGTGTACTTACACAAACCTAGGTGGAATAGCTTCCTACACAACTAGTCTACATGGTATAGCCTATAACCAGCACCACACACACATACACACACACACAAGTACTAACATCACCCAGGAAGGTGTGAGTAGATCTGGGACTAAAGAATATTACCAATAATACTGCTGCATTTTTTTTTGAGAGTTTTTTTTTATTTTTTTTTTTTTCCGCTATAGGGCACATGCATTCAGCAGACAGAGAGAGACATAGAGACAGAAAGCGAGAAATTACCCCCCCAGGGGGATGGTCACGCCGCAATCCCTTCTCCTCCATTCTCCTCTCGGGATCTTGGGCACGCACGCACACGCGCCCGGCGTGAGTTTTAAGCCATCAGATCCGGAATGCAAACCGCGGTCGACTACGTGCGAGTCCAGCGACATAGCCATTACGCTAACTGCTGGTTCCCACCCCCCTTTTTTTTTTGGGTTGACAATTTTAAAATATAAGTATTTACAGGTGTGCTAAATTGAGTTAATTAACATACACACTACTTCACATTTCATTTATTTTTGGTGAGAACAGTTAAAATCTACTCTTAGTGATTTTTTTTTAAAGAGGTTTTTACTATAGGGTACATGCGCTCACCAGACA